AATCAACCTGTAAAGGATCAACCATCTCTTAAAAAAAATAGCACAGTTTGCATTATTAATGATAATGATAAATATTCAAATGGAAGAGTTATGTCTTCCTTTACTTTAAAACTGGATGTTGAGATCAGGTATTGGTGTAAAGGATTATTGAATTAGATGTTTGCTCTGTTAGATCACATATTTAGAAATTACTACTAGTATATATTGTTTCATTCAATATTTTGTAATTGATATGACTGATACTACCTCTGTAAAGATGATTATAGTAGTCTTTGCTGTAAACACCGATGCTGATTTTTATATAAAATATTTTATTTTAAGTATTTACTGTTCAATAGTATTATGAAACACTTTTCAGCAGCTTATTAGATGTTTTTTTTTTAATTTTTGTTATGTCGCATATATACACAACTAGCAAAATATATGATATTATAAATGCAGTATAATTTACAAAGAATTACCAAATTATAGTTTATTGTCTGTCTTATTGTCTTAGTTTATACATCTAGAGATGACAGATTTATATATTTGTAGTCATTCTATAAAAGATTGTATCTAACATTTTTGCCAATACATGTGTATTTAGTATTAGTTTAGAATGTTTTCCTTTGCTGCTCGTAAAGGAAGCATCCTTCATGATAAATATTGTATTGTGTTCTAACAGTCTTATAATCTTTGTAAAGATATGTTGAGGCGGATTGAGACGACGAAAATTTCGAAGTTGTGTGATTTTCCATTTTTCACCAGTTTGAGTTGTTTAAAGTGATTTTCGTCGAAAAAAGTATCACAAAAATACTGAACTCCAAGGTAAATTCAGAAAGAGGAAGTTCATAAAAACTGACAAAATCAAACGTTATCAATCAACGGAATGAGTGAAAAGCATCTGTCATATTCCTGACTTGGTACTAGACTTCGAACAAAGCGGCATAACTCAGATCTTTATTGGTATAAACTGTTTGAGTTTTACTACTATGGTCGCTGTACTCTTTGTTTCACTACACAATCGAAAAAAAGACACAAAAATTAGTAATTAGCTACCTTTGCGATATTCATAATCTGTACAAAGGAGCAGAATGATAAAATTGTAATTGTCATAATGCGTTTTTGATGCAAAATGCTATTTAGTAACACCATATTGCTATACCTTTTGCAAGCTTTGAAATTGAGTTGGAATGCTTAATATTTGTATTTCAAATGTCTTTCTGATTTACTTCATTTACAATTTTCCAGTGAGAAGATTAATCAATCAATCAAACTTTTATTGAAATTTGATGCAAGAAATGAGAATTTACTATTATCAGTCACTGTTAAAACGGATTATACTATCCTTAGATTATGAATTCTACCATAAGTGTTTTAAACTTCCAATTTTGACATGTTCCAAACTCTATTATACAATTTGAATATTTAAAGCATATCTGTATAAAATTCAAATTAACTAATAAAAAGTCAGATCAAGTAAGTATCATATTCATATTTGATACTTGAATGTTTAGAGCGATTCCCCAGTTCTCATTTACATCCCTAGATTGAACAGAAAATTATTTATGCCACCACTTCGAGGAAGGCAGACCTTACCAATTTTTAGTGTTTTTGTCAAAAACTATTAAAGATGGACGGAGATTGGAAGCATCTACATTTATCAGCAATACACGATCTACTAAACCATAAAAAAGATTATCCATCTATTATCTTGAAAACCAAAAGAAACAAGATAATGAAATCATACACAATATACACAAGACCATCCTGTGAATCTATTAACTTATTATAGACAGACAGAAACTATAAACAGCATAAATGATACAATGCTAAAAAAATGTGTATATTTCAAAATATTTATCAAAATGGCATAGTTTGCCAGCTGAGCGAATTAAGCTCTTGGGAGCGTTTAATGTCTGTTAACATTTTCAACCAAATATAATAAAATAAAATGATTGGAATCTGCAGTCTTTGTTCAGAGTTATTACTGTTATATCGTTTATAATAAATATAGAACAACAGATTTCATTAATTGTTCTACTTTATATAATGGGTGCTAGTTAATATTAAAATATTTATTATTAAACCATTTTTTTTCGGAAAATCAGGAATACGACAGTTGTTTTGCAGTAGTTCCGTTGGTTGATATAGTTCATCGTTTGATTTTGTTAGATTTTATAGACTTTCACATTTTTGAATTCAATTCGGAGTAAATATGTTATTACATTTTGTGCATTGTTTACTAGTGAGTCTGAAATATCCAAAGCCATTTCACACTTAAAATGCAATAAATCATCAGGCTTGGATAACATTAGTAATAATATGATAAAGAATGGACGGACTTTCCTTTTAAAAAGTTTTCAACAGATGTTTAATACTTGTCTGTCTTCAGGTATATACCCAACATCTTGGGCTGAAGGTTATATTACACCAATTTTTAAAAGCAACGATACAAGTGACCCTAACAATTACAGAGGAATAACAATAACAAGTGCAATTGGAAAGCTTTTTAATAGAATATTAAGTCTAAAACTGGACAAATCTCTTCAGGAACATAATATTATACATGATAGTCAAATTGGATTCACAAGGAAAGCCAGAACTGCAGATCATATGTTTATTTTAAACTGTCTTATTAACAAATACTGTAATTCAAAAGAAAGTAGACTGTTTGCCTGTTTTGTTGATTTTCAGAAGGCTTTTGATACTGTTATACATACAGGGATCAAGATTAAACTACTAGATATTGGGGTTGGGTCTTATTTTTATAACATTATTAAAAGTATGTATGAAATTAGCAAATCATGTGTCAAAATTCAAAATCAAGTAAGTGATTTTTTCCCATTAGATATTGGAGTCAAACAAGGTGACAACCTCAGTCCTGATTTATTCAAGATATTCATAAATGATTTGCCCAGATATTTGTCAAATACTAGAGACCCAGTTAATGTCAATGACAAAGATCTACATTGTTTAATGTATGCGGATATTGTTTTATTATCTACATCAGCTGAAGGACTACGAGAAAAGCTGGGAATGCTTGATAAATTTTGCAAAGATTGGTGTCTCAATGTGAATACTAATAAGACAAAGGTTCTGATTTTCAACAAGGCAGGCAGACATGTAAAACAGATATTCACATTTCAGAATATAAATCTGGAATGTGTTTCAAAATACAAATACCTAGGTTTATATTTAAGCTCATTTGGTTCATTCAGTTATGCTCAAAATGAACTATACAAAAAATCCTTGAAAGCTTATTTCAAATTAAGGAAAGATCTTTTATCACTTAATCCTGATGTAAAAACAAGTATTCATTTTTTTTTTACCACACTGTAAAACCTATTTTATTATATCGTAGCGAAATATGGGGGATGTTTAATTCTCATTTCTCTAAATGTAAGAAGGAAGATATATCTTTTGAAAAATTATATTCAGGTTTACCCTGTGAGAAACTTCATATAAAATTTTGTAAATTTATACTTGGGGTACACAAGAAAACAACAAATGCTGCAGTGTTACCTGAACTTGGAAGATTTCCAATATATTTTAATATTATAAAAGGAATGTTATTGTACTGGTATAGATTAGAGAATTTAGGTAATAATTTTCCTCTATTAAAAGAGGCATATACACAATCAAAGACACTACATCACATGAATATAACATCATGGTATGGTTCAATAAATGTTATTTTTAAAAAACTTGGTATTGACTATACAAATGCCATAAATGCTCCATTTTGTGAATCCTTATACAAATTTAAGAAATATATACAAACCAAGCTATCAATATTGTTTATTAGCTGTTGGAAAAAACAAATAGATAAATTTTCAGACAGTAAACTGAAAACCTACCTTTTATATAAAACAAATTTTGGTTTTGAAAAATATCTAACATTGATCAAGAATTTTGAACTTAGAAGAAGTTTTGCTAAATTACGTGTATCTTCTCATGGATTACAAATAGAATTAGGTAGATATCAGGGTATTCCCCGAATTAACAGAATATGTAATAAATGTTCTTCCAATACTGTCGAAGATGAGGCTCATTTTCTATTTGATTGTAACAAATTTGAGGATGATAGAAATTGTATGTTAGCTAGTATTGCAAAATATAATTCTTATTTTAATCATATGAGCAGTCAAAGCAAAATTATCTGGTTATTTAGTGTAGAAAATGTTGAGTTACTTAAAATAATATGTAATTTTATATACAAACATCTTCCTTAGTGAAGATTAGTTTAAGGAAATCTATGTGTGTATATACATTTGATTGGACATAGAAAATTATATTCATCTGAATATCACAAGCATACTAGCCGATTAAAAAAAAAAATTAATTGTTAGAATATATTATTTATTTAAATGTTCTCTTATATCCTTGAGGCATCGTCCCCTGGTATCAACTGCATTCAAGTTACCTATGATGCTTCCTTGTTTGCTTTTGATACAGGTAGGAAAGAGACATTTACACACATTTTACATGCCTATGGCCCATAAGGTATCGCCCCCTGGTGTCAGCTGCCTTTAGGAAACCATAGTACTTTCCTATTTGCTGCTGACACAGGATGAGTCATGGACATGCTTAATTTCTACTTTCTTTTTGGCTAATTATTATATGTTTAATTGATCCAACTTTGTGTGTACTATACATATATGGATATCTATTTTTCTTTTTTCTTTTTGGGCTGCTTGTTTGTTATCTATATCAACCACACTTGCAATAAAATGCATTAGTATTAAAAAAAAAACATACTATAGATTCTTTATCTACGTATTCTTTAAGAACTTAAATAGTTCTCGTAAAACTTTTTTTTTTATTATCTCATTGTTTGTATTGTATTATGAAAAATTATTGATGTTGTAATGTTTATGCCCTTTGGGGCCCATAATTGGAAATAAAAGTATCTCTTATCTCTCTAGTACCGGGTTTGGTTATTTTTTAAAACTCTGTCCCAAACACTATCATAATAGATAATTTAAATATGTCAGATAAAACTAAATGCGCATGTCAGTATCTGAATTATTCGGTGAATCCATTAACTGATCCATGATCGTTTACAACAAATAATACTTTGGGTGCCCAGCGCATTTTTAAACGGTTTTTAAAATCAATATTGGTTCCTCAGGACAAGGATGGCATGTGGATCTTCCACATTTTCAAAGTACAATGCTATGTGTCAGAAAATTGTAGATGATTTAAATTCAGGTAAGTTTATAAGTTAATTTGTTGAATGCCTTTTAATTGGATGTTTCTTTTTGGGGTTCAATAGCTCAGTGTCAAATACTATTCAAAGAGGGTATTGAATTAATTATTTGCTATTGTATAAGAGGTGGCAATCTTCAAAGTTCTAGAAATTTATAAAATGAATTTTGTTGAAACTGCTAATGTTGCTTCGACCTTGAAACGAAACGTTATTTCATATCAAACAAAAACAAAAATTACCAGGAATATACACAATTATTATATTCAGTATCAGGGTTTTTGTCTTTCTTCAAACTAAATATTTGAATTTGTATGCACATAGTATCGAATGACGTTAAAGTACGCTCGTTGATAGTTTATCAGAAAATTAATCTTTCTTTATTTATTTAAATGCACAATTCAATTATCTACCATAAGTTCTCCAGTCACCTTGTTGCAATGAATGTTTTGTCTATTTTTAGACATGTATTTCTACGAAATGTGTCTTATTAGTGTATTTTCCTGTTTGCTATTAATGTTAAATAGTATTATATTGGGTAAACAAATTATATAAATTATATGTTTTTATATTTGCTTTAAAATCAATGTACTTTGGAGCACACATAACTTAAAAACAAAACATTAAGAATCGGGTGTTTAATCTTTTGTCATGTAAATAGAGTTAGGAATCCATACAAAGTACAATTTAAGGTAAATTAGGTGTCTTCTGCCATCTTGGATTGTAAAATAGCAGAATACAATCGGTCTAGATATTCAACAAAATATAAAAGATTTGAGAGAAGAATGTATTTTATTTGTAAGACTTTTCGTCTCAATAAAGACAATTTTGTGTTTTATTTTGTAATCAAAACTATTTTTTAAAACACAGAACATTTTCTGTTTGATTCAAGTTTTAAAACTTTCCCATATAAGTGGAAATAACAAGACAACCTTACTTGTATAAAGGTATGGAATTTACATATTTTGTTTTGTATAAAGAAAACGAGTTCCTTTAACCATTTGATTTTGTCTGAAAGCACATTATTAGAATTATTTTCTTATACTTTATCTTAAAATTCTATCGTTTAGTATATATTTTATCTCACAAACAATAACTTCTCATCAGTGGTGCAATAACCAGATACAACTAAACAATATTTGTTTTAAATTCTTGTTTGCTAGACAGGTCTTCGTTGTCAACTGCTTAATGATTATTTTACTGTGACTTGACTATAGGTGTTGCTGTTTACCTTTACCTATTGTTTAACCAGATTGTAAAATTGACAATACAATTGGGACATTTAAAACATGAAAACAACACGTTATAATTTTCATGCGTCCGAATCGCTTTTCTGGATTTACCATCACCAGGAACGCTCAAAGCCGAATATTTGAAAGCCAAGGATGTATAAGAACCTAAACAGTTGAAGAGCTATATCACCAAAATGGACCTAAAAACAGCCAAATCCATCTAAGGTCAACTTTACCTTAAATTGACGAGTTGGTATTGTTAGAGTTGATCCTACCTTGATGCTACCTGAACTGTTTTTTATTCACCTAACCCAACCTTATAGCATGCTTTTTTCCTGAAGTTTTTCTCGACCTAAGGTTATTCTATTATAAAATTGATAGGGAAGAAAATATATATTTTCATTGTTATAAATCCCCAATATAGATGATTAATCTAATTTTGACCCAGTGAAACAAACAATAGCAAATCAGGTGTTTCAGTTTCAGTTTTCAGATGGATAGGTTATGCATTTCTTCATATATCTCTTTAAATTTTTCATTTTGGAGTATTGTTCACAGTGTTTAAAATCGTTTGGAATCAATGTGCATAAAATATTGGGATTCATTTTATTTGAATTCACTTCTTACATGTCATCTAATTTTGCTTCTGAAAAATAGACTTGTATTTTTCCAAGAATGGATTGTCATGAATGTATCAAGGAGGAAATAATTCATTCAAAATATTTTGTGTGGCATTCACAAGATGATGTACATGTAAAAATCGAAATAGTTTTGGAGTATACCTTGCAGTGTTTTTCTTTAAATTGTATTAGTATTTTTTTGCATACAAATACTGTGTGCACTCATGGGAATTCACTATTATAAGATGGGATTTAGTTAATCTAACAGGTAAAAAATTCAAAACTGGAATGCAAGTAGGAGAAATAAGTTCATCCAACATGTTTCTGTGGCTTCTAATTGTGATTTTGAAAATAATCATTATAAAATTCTGGATCTAATATGAAGATGATTCACATGTTGTAATGGGATATATATCATGGAAATGAAATAACATGTGAATACAGTGGGAATAGATAAATCTAGTGATAAAGTGAAAAATAAAAAGTAAAATATTTCAAAAAATTCATAACGTGAGGATAACAATTTTGAATGTGATATTGGAAATAACCATTATAAAATTCTGATCTAATATTGTTTAATTGGGGCATATATAATGGAAAATGAAATAAAACTGAATACTGGGGATATAGTCAAATTAAGTGATGTAGTGAAAAATATAAATAAAATATTTCCAAAAATCTGTACAATGAAGATAATTATTTTTAATGTGATATTGGAAATAGTCAAAAATTACAAAATTCTGGATCTAATATAAAGACTCTGCATCTGTTTAATTAGGATTATATCATGGTATTTTAAACTGAATACTGGGGATATAGTCAAATTAAGTGATGTAGTGAAAAATATAAATAAAATATTTCCAAAAATCTGTACAATGAAGATAATTATTTTTAATGTGATATTGGAAATAGTCAAAAATTACAAAATTCTGGATCTAATATAAAGACTCTGCATCTGTTTAATTAGGATTATATCATGGTATTTTAAATAGAATACTGTGGATATGGAAAAAAATCTAGTGATATAGTGAAAAATGTAAGAAAATATTCCAAAAAGTTATTAAAATTAGGAAAATATTTTAAAATTATTTCAAATAGTGAAATTGGAATACTGGATGGGATATTAAATATCAGTGTAAAAAAAAAATAAAAAATTAAACAGTTTATTCATAACTATTATTTTGATATTTCACTATGCATAAACGCTTTGAACAAGGCTTATGTCAATAAGTAATGAACAAATGTCTAGATGAAGGAATGCACACGGTTGTTCTGGTGTTTATTAATCCTGGAAAATTATGGAAATTATAAATAGGATTTCCACAAGGGTAAACAAAAAATATTTTGAGTTATTTCCTATTAGAAAAAGCAAAAGACATTAAATAGGTCTTTTCAACAATATAAAAGAAATCCAAGCACTAAGAGTATTTGGCTATAAACACATTAAGAGGAAATGTAGTGATTATATGACATGCGATTAAATACCCTGCAAGAAAATTTAACATATAAATTCTTGTTCTGGCTTGCTCTTTCCTAAAATTTGACATGACAGTAAAATAAAAATCTCTCTTTTTTCCTTCTAATTGTTGTGTTTCTTTTGCAATTATATAGCCAATTACTTTAAGGAATACATTCAGTTCATTACAGAAAAAAAAACTGTAATTACAATGTTTATTTCCTTTACTTGTTTTAGGATTCTCTAAAGAAAAACTTTGGGAAATGAATTTTTAATAATCAGCAGTATTTAGCAAATATTAGAACATGAAATAAGTTTGCCACATGGATAACTTTTGAAAGACCTATCCAAGTAACACTACAACATTTACAATTCAACAGGTGAAGTGATGGGACAGTATCCATGTAGACTCTAAATGCATGAGTGATCATCAATCATCAACTCTAAAAATACCAACTGGTCAATTTAAATGTCCCAAATGTATTGTCAATTTTACAATCTGGTTGAACAATAGGTAAAGGTAAACAGCAACACTTAGAAATATTCCTGAAAACATTTTACATTCTATCCCCTAGATGGAATGTTCCATTTGAAAAATTTCGGAACAAAGGGTCGCTTCTTACATTATAAATCACTTATCAGATGTTGGTTAATCATATGCTTCTGTTATTTTGATGTCGTAAGTGAGTGACAATAGATTTGATACAATTGTAGCTGATAAGAAAATCTGCGTAACTAATAGGCTTTAAGCTTGTTAATGGAAATGTTATTTGAATAAAATGAATTCAAACTTAAATTTGTTAACGAAAATATGTTGATCCTCTGCTTGTGTCAGAATTTGATCATAGATATTTTTGATTAATGTTGTGGCTTTTTAAAAAATTTCAGATGATATCAAACATTTGAAATTTTGTCTTAGAAGAGATCTTTCAAAAGGAGAATTAGAAAATATAGAAGATGGCCAAGATCTCATTACTACATTAGAAAAACGAGACTTTTTGTCTCAGAAAAATGTGTCTCTGCTGCATGGTTTGTTGGAGAAAAAATGTGGAAGATTAGCTAAAATAGTTGGTGCTTATGACTTAACAATCACGCCTCAAAGAACATACAACAAAGGTAAAACATTTACATTGCATAAACTTAATAAAGTACTTATTACCATAGAACACATTATCTTAATTCGGTATATGTATAACAAAAACAGAATTTTAGCTGTGAGGAGCTTTTACCTTTTACCTAAAAAAAAACACGTCTGGGACAATATTTAGGTCTCCTGATCAATATGGCAACCGGGATTATATCATTCCATTTTGATTTTTGTCTAAATCATTTAAAATAACTGAAGAATAATGACAAATAATTTTTGTAGGCTTTTTAAATATTAATATGGATTTGATAAAACTCGCCACAATTAATGTATTTATGAGGCCAAGGAAATATATATGCTTGTTTTCTGCATGCAGACCAAAATAAATAGGTAATAGGTAAAATAACTTTATTTTTTTTATTATTTTACAAAGACAAAAATGAAATATATTCTAGACTTTATCGTTGTTTATAGACTTTAACGGTGACGGTGATTAATCCTAATTGTCTTGATAATAAACTCATCAGGATTGAAATTTTGTACACCAGACGAGCGTTTCGTCTACAAAAGACTCATCAGTGACCCGCGAATAAAAAAAGCTATAATTGAAGATCATTGAGGACCAAAAATGCCGAAAGGTTTTGCCAAATACAGCTAAGGTAATCTATACCTGGGGCTTTAAGGATGCTTAAGGTAGATCAAAGGTCTTCCACTATCTAAGATTATAAATAAACTCATCATAGATACCAGGCTTAAACTTTTGTACGCCAGACGCGCATTTCGCCTACAGAAGACTCCTAAAATAGCAGAAAGCAATCGGTCTAGATCTTTATTGAAATTTGCAAATTTTGAGACCGGAATGTAAATTATTTGAAAGACTTTTCATCTAAATAAACAAAATTTGGTGATCTATCAATTCGACTGTTCTTACAAAAACTACTTTTTATTCAATTCTGTTTTCTTTAACTTAGTCATATGAATGGAGTTAAATCGGATAGTTTAAATTTATAAAGGAATGTACGGTTAATTTATCTATTTTATTTTGTAGCAAGAAAACGAGTACCTCGAACTCAAATTTGTCTTTTTATTTTCTGAAAGCACATTTTAAAAACTATTTTTGGGATTCAATTTTAAAATTAAAGCTTTTAATTTCTTCCTATTCACTTAAAATGTTTATTCTTTTGTATAATCTTTACAAAACCTAACAGTTTTGCACAAATACTCGCAATACAAAATTTATTAAACGCTGTGTTGTAATAAATAGGGATAAAATGAGATAAGGTGTGTATGTCAAAACAAAATTTACGTGGGACTTCCAGATGACAATTTATTTTGTAGACAAAATCAACATTTAATGCTGCTTTTGAATATTATCTTTTTACAATATCGATCACGTCTACATTCAAAAGTCTTTAGTCTTTCATTTTGATGCAGTTTATGATGAGTTTAATTATCATATTTGGCACAATTAATCTCATAGTAGAATTCTTTAATTAACACAATTGTTTAACCCTTGTCAAATCAGCAAAATCAGCTAAATCGATTTTCTTCCGTTTCAGATAAATACGATATATCGTCAATGAATATTGTTGAACACTTTGTAAAGACTTCTGCGGCTGATAAAGTTTTTCATTTGTTGAAGAATAAAGGAGCTGCATTTATTAAAGGTACTACTTCTATTATTACTACCATAACTGTTAATGATAATAACTAGAGGTTCTAAAGAGCATGTGTCACTCGCATGGAGCTATGTGCTTCTTCAACTATGGCACCTATCTAACATTGTAGACTATAATATAATTCATGACTAGTCATATGTTTTTGTTGTTGCTCATGTCTTGCTGATCAATTTAAATGTTTACGAGTTTACGAAATCGACATTTAAAGGAAATAGCACATATAAGGAGTCGACTGACAATTTGGTCTGTGTGTTCACCATTTTTTTTTTTGCCATGTCGGCAATGTTGATTGGCAGGCTAGATCATCAGACACAATGTTTTAATCTAGATAACAATAATGATTAATAATGACTGTGGTCAAGTTTGGTTTCAATTGTCAAGTAGTTTCGGAGGAGAAGACTTTTGTAAAACTATACGGACGACGACGACGGTGATGAGAAAAGCTCGATTGGTCCTTTGTATCATGTTAGCTAAAATGAATAACACGTATTATAACAACGACAATAATATCAAAAACAATAAATAATTCCGCTATATGTTAGGATGCCTATACTTGATCAGAAAAAGAGAGGCGAAAGATACCAAAGGGATATTCAAACTCAAACTGACAATGTCATGGAAAAAGGACGGGTAAGCAGATCCTTCTCCACTTGTTGCACCCGTCGTGTTGCTTGTGTATAAACCCGGTGATAAGTCTAATTCGGTAAGTTAAATTCGAGGAAAAGAGGATGGGATTACATTAATTGGAACATATCCGTCGTCATCTGTCAAACAGATATTCCATAACGGTCAACCAACTCGTGATAGTGTCCGTAAAATTTTAGAAGGGATGATTTCAAATTCAGAACTTAGAAGCTTCATAAATGGGGGCAGATGTGTTAATTTTCTCAATTGGTTTATTTGTGTATTTTCTGCCTTACGCTGGTTTCAATCTTTAAATTTAATTTCCTGCTATACCCCAATTTTAAACATTTTTACCTATTATGTTTTTTTGCTCACACAATGGAATTTTATGCGACTGTCATACAAGTGAGAGGTTTAGCTAGCTTTACAACCAGATTTAATCCACCATTTTCTACATAAGTTAATGCTTTAACAATTCAAGAATATGACAGTTGTTTTCCATTCGTTTGATGTGTTTGAGCTTTTGATTTTGTCATTTATTAAGGGACTTTCCGTTTTGAATTTTCCTAAGAGTTCGGTGTCTTTGTTATTTTACTTTTCCTCTAGATGTCTATTTTTTGTAGTTTGTTTGTAGGCTAATGAAATTAAGTTTGTTTTACACATATATCTTGTATAAAGCCATTGAAAAAACAACATAACAATTACAATAATATCAAGTACCTTTTTAACATTGAAAATGTAGTCAAATATTTTCATAAATACTTACACAATAATATGAAGACTCATACTGATGAAATTTTTCTAGCATTTCAAATGACAATTTCAAAGAAATTACAGATTTCATCCTTTTATTGAGTTTTTTTATTTTAGGTCCAAATGGTGTAGGAAAATCACAAATTGCATTTTGGTATGCAAATCACTTTTACAAAGAAAACAAGAAATCTGTTATTTGGAGGATAAATAGTAAATCACTTGAAAGCACCCACCTTTCACTTGCCACTCTGTTGTCAACATTGAACATTTATGATGATCATATGATTTCTCAGACAAATTTATCGCTATGTGTGAAAAACATGTTTGATGTAGTCCTCAGTACACTTGTATCAGAACAGTGGCAACAAGATAAACATCTTATAGTAATGGATGATATTTTCAATCCGAAGGATGACATCATGTGTGAAATGCTTGAAAGGTTTGTTCATTTGAAAAACGTTAATCTAATTGCAACATCAAATGTATCATATTCAACAGATCTGGCATCATCGTACGAGGTTCATATTTCGCGAATGACTGCAGAAGAAGCAATATCTTTGCTCACATCTGCTAGTGAAGATAAAGATTGTTTAAAAAAATTAGTACAAAATCTGAATTATCTACCTTTGGCAATATCTCTAGCCTCGTCTTATATAAAAACAACGAAAATAAGCATCAGGGATTATCTAAGAAACATTTCTGCATTCCAAATGCAAGCTCAACAAGAGGATAAAAAAGGTCAAAATCTACAAGCATCATATGACATGACGTTACAGAACGTTGAAAACAATTTGTCTCCGCATTGCAAGAGGGTGCTTTCGCTGATCCCTTACTTAAGTCATACGAGCATATCGGTTGATGTTCTGAAAACTTTTCTTCCAGAAAAAGTAATTGAAAGAGAACTCGAAATAACAAATTTGATGTCAGCTTTACAAAATTATTCTTTAGCATCAGCCAGACGAAGTGGTAACATACGACTGTTGGAAATGCATGGTCTATCTGTATGGGTTTTGAAAAACAAAAAGAGCTCTGAACAAGAAAAAGAAGACTTGCTATGGTTGATGAAGCATTATTGCAGAGAAATGGCAATTGACGTAAGATCAGTCAAGAATGCCAACCGTAACATTGAATTTCTGGATCACGCTTGCCTGCTGATGAACAAATATCTGAAGATGTTGAACAATTCGTCTGATGAAGTTCTTGTATATGAAGCTTACTTGGCATTGTGTATTGGGTCCACCTTTAGAGTTTATGGTCGAACAGAAATTACTGCGGAAGATTTCTTTGAAAGAGGAAGAAATATCATTGCCAAGCTTGGAAAAATAGAATCCAATATATATCCAGTATCAAGTGCCTCTAACCGTTCTTCAGTTAACAGTTTTGAAATAAGAGAAGAAACTTGTGACATGGAAAATTTCCTTAAGGGTGATGAGAATATACGAAATAGAGCAAGTAGAATTTTTTCAGCACTTCGTGATGTTCACACTTGTGTTACAGAGGAAATGCTGGAACATTTAGTAATGAAAAAATACAGGAACGAAAACGAAATGAGCATTATTCTTTGTAATACTTCGCAGATGGATGAACATAGGGAAAGATGGATTCCTGACGTTTTGGAATCAGACCTTGTAAAAAGAGGCTTTATAATGCCATTATACGAACTTCGTGCAACATTCTTGATAGAGCTGTTAATTCTCCTCCTATACAACAGCAACGGTAACAACTGGTGGATAACTGAGAGTGAAGCAGTACATGCCTTCGTGGAAGGCAGGCATATGTCGGTGGATTCAAAATGTTTTGCTGATTTTCAACTCACCTATAATATGGCTTGCATCTTAAACTCGTTTTATGAAGAAAAACATCCTTCGTTTCGACCTGTGATAGCAACTGTTATTAAACGGAGCGGTGTGTTATATTATGTACGAAATGAATCATTGAATCACACTGTGCCTGAAATGAAAAAAGTTATCACATTCCTTGAGGGAATGTTAGAAAGTTCGCCAGTTATAAACATATTAATTGGAGTTGTTAATATGCTTTCTGGGTTGGATGTTGATCATACATGTCATGTGCTCGAGCTTCTTAGGGAATGCTACATTAAACTTTCCAACATCGACGAAAGCAATCAGAACTATTACATTACGCAAGCCTTAGCTAAGACAAGTCTACTTGAAAGTTATATTGAAGATTTGGAACCATGGAATCTTTTACCTAGGGTGCATTTGGCAGTAGCTGATATGTGTGTCAGAATCAAAACACCATCGATGGCTAGAAAAGCCAAAAAACACTTTCGGCTGGCAATACAAGACAATCCAAACGACGAAATTACAAGATATACCTTAAAGTCATACAAATGCTACATTGAATTTTGCATATTAGAAGGTGATGATGATGATCTGGAAGAAGCAGAAAGACTTTGAAAAATAATGATAGAAAAAATAAAAAAATCCTCAAAGAATTCTTACTTCAAGCAAAAATTGGAGATAATAAATGAGTTAAAGGTAAATAAATAACTTTAAATGTAAAAACTCATCACAGATTGATACCAGGCTTATAATTTGGTACTCCCGACGCGCTTTACATAAGACGCACGAATCAAAACAGTTAAAAGATAAAATCAAATGCAAAGCTGCAGAGCATTTCAAACCGAAACATTCATAAAATTTGTGTCAAATACGAATACGAAAAAAGGCAATATATGCCTGCAGAACAAATCAAAACATTTCAAGCGATCATAACTGTCCTGGTGTTTGACAAATATTTATATCATGTTCTGCATCGTGGATTGCATTTTAACCAGGTTTTCCAAGCAATATATTTTATTGCTATATCTTAAAGATCGGATTATTTAAACTTATTCCATTATTTGACATGATAGTTCATTTGCATCTGCCGTAGGTCGGAGCCTTTTCTTTGGGTGAAAGATATGATGTTCTATTTCAAAGAAAATGAACTGCATATTGAAGTGCATCTAAAGGTTTATGTATTCGTATTTTTTTCGTGTCCACAGGTTTTCAAAAAGAAAAACATCTTGCTTCCAGTTTACTGAATCTTACAATAACTTATTACATACTTATACTAAACCCCTAACAGGAGGGATTGTGCCTGATATTCATATGATGAAGACATAATCTTTCAATCAGTTTAATTGAGGTCTGGAGCTGGCATGTCAGTAACTGCTAGTAGTCTGTTGTTATTTATGTATTATTGTCATTTTGCTTATTTTCTTTTGTTTCCTATTCTGACATCGGACTCGGACTTCTCTTGAACTGAGTTTTACTGTGCGTACTGTTGTGCGTTTGTTTTTTCTACATTGGCTAGAGGCATAGGGGGAGGGTTGAGATCTCAAAAAACATGTTTAACCTCGCCGCATTTTTGTGCCTGTCCCAAGTCAGGAGCCTCTGGCCTTTGTTAGTCTTGTATCATTTTTAATTTTAGTTTCTTGTGTATAACTTGGAGTTTAGTATGACGTCCATTATCACTGAACTAGTATACATTTGTTTAGGGGCCAGCTGAAGGACGCCTCCGGGTGCGGGAGTTTCTCGCTGCATTGAAGACCCATTGGTGGCCTTCGGCTGTTGTCTGCTCTATGGTCGGGCTGTTGTCTCTTTGACACATTCCCCATTTCCATTCTCAATTTTATTTGTAGAATACTCGAGGATTAAAAAACACACGACATAAAAATATAAATGACATACCATGTTTAGAATATGGAAGCAAAATTCAGAGAGAGTGTGATGCAGTTCCTAAACAAATAACACCACCAGAGTATCAGGGAGAAAGTCAAGTATTAACACAGCGAAATTCGATAAATAATGTTGTTGACGAAAGGCTTGAAAGGTAAGACATTTTATTAGAATCATTGTTATGACCTTTATCAGTTACGAATTTGAAAGGCTCTTAAAGCCAGCAATTCTAAAAATTGGTGCCACAACTAACAGAGGTCATCTATGCTTTGGATATGGAATGTTTTCTGTAATCATATGATTTTTAGCTCACCTGGCCCTAAGTGAGCTTTTCTCATCACTTGGCGTCCGTCGTCCTCCGTCCGTCGTCTGTCGTCGTCCGTCGTCGTCTGTTAAATTTTAAATGAATCTTCTAAATTTAACCAAACTTGGCCACAATCATCATTGGGATAAAATTATGTGTCCGATGACCCCGCCTGCCAACCAAGATGACCAACATGGCTAAAAATAGAACATAGAGGTAAAATGGGTAAAAATTTTGTCTATTATTTTGAAAACCGTTATAAACAGAGAAAATCTGACAGGAGTGGAAACGTTCCGAATGTTGAACTCTACCAATTGTCCATATACGTCAAAACTGTCAGACGACTTCTAATAGGACTTATTGCCCTTAAATGACAAATTTTACCTTTTTTTTTTCATTTTTGCCTATTATCTTGAAAACTATAATAGATAAGAGAGAAACTTTAAATGCAAAAATGATCAGCACGACAAATTCTACAAATAAGTCTCCATGGTCGAAATCGTCAGTCGACTCCTTATTAGAGTTATTGTCCATTTTCACTGAACTAGTACACATTTTTGTTTAAGGGGCCAGCTGAAGCCCGCCTCCGGGAGCGGGATTTTCTCGCTGTGTTGAAGACCCATTGGTGGCCTTGGGCTGTTTTCTGCTCTTTGGTCGGGTTGTTGTCTCTTTTACACATTCCCCAATTCAATTGTCAATTGTATTAAATATCCGCTAGACAAGACCTACAATTAAGACAATATGGAGGGAATCGTCCGACGACTCCTTATTGGAAATATTGCCCTTTAATGACGATTTTCACCATTTTTGTTTTCGTTTTGCCTTATATGATAAAAAATATAATAGATAGATAGACACTTCAAATCACAAGAATGATCAAGTCAAGATCTACTATCAAGTCAAATTTTGCCACTATATAGTTTGTAGACTCTCACTCTTTATAGGAGTGATTGCCCTTAAATGAGGTTTTTTTTTACCCTCTCATTATGTGTTTTGAGCAAAAACTAAAGAAGAAAGAGAGAAACTTAAACAGACTATCAACAAAACAATGATTCTTCTCATGAATTCTATTCTTGTCTACAATGTTGGAGAGTGTCCTTTGTTGAATATGCACATAGACCAAGGTGAGCGAAACCGGCTCTTTAGAGCCTCTGGTTATATTTTTTAACATTATATTTATAGGAAACGACCATATCAGTGATATTTTATTTGACTACTGATCTAGCAATACTCTCGGAGACGACAATTCCATCAGCAGGGGCAACGAAAAAGTGGTTGCAAAGCCTCGCCAAAGTACCAGGCTGATAATTTAGAATGCCAGTCGCGCATTCCGTACACAAGACTCAGCTGTCATATCTTAACCAAAACAGTTGACAGTCACAGAAAGTTCAAATTACTTGATATAATTGCCCAGAAGATGCATATTGAATTTAAGTTAGATTTTGCTTTAATCGTTTCCTTTCATGACCCGTAACTAATTCCAAGAAGTAATTTGTTAAACCTTTTTATTTTCTTAAAAAATGATCAAATTAAATCTTTCTAAAAAAGACAAAACAAACCAAAGTTAAATTAAATACTTCGAAACTCCAAACCTACCCGGTTAACAAAGGGAGAAAAAAAACTTTTTCAGCGTATGAAATGGCAGTTTAGCTTCTTAAACTAATCATTTCTATTGAAACTATTGGTCATATTGTTTAAATTTGATTTACTTTTTATTTCTAGCTTAGTTGAGCGTTTAGTTGGCATTGATAGTCAACGACTGTCTATCGAAAGTGAACGACATGATGAACGACTGTCTATCGAACGAGAACGACTGTCTATCGAAAAAGAAAGACTTAATGAGGCAAAGAAAACTAATGAAACTCTAGAGAGACTTGTCTTACAACTACAAATTACTAGATGATGTTCGTGACTGCGATACTGTTTACAGCTACAACAGTACAATAATGATTTTCCATATATGGTAATAACTTTGGGATTAAGTGTTGACTGCTGTTATATAAATACATAAAAGTTATAGATGCATGTGATTTATTTTTTTATGAATATTTTAACACAGTTTAAGACAGTATATCTAAAAATTATTCAATAATAATATTAAAATACCCCGTCAAGGTCTGGATCATGTGTTAATTGTTGGTTGTCGTTTGCCTTTATTTGTATATCCCTTTTTAGCTCACCTAGCCCAAAGGGCCAAGTGAGCTTTTCTCATCACTTGGCGTCCGTCGTCCGTCGTCCGGCGTCCTGCGTCCTGCGTCCTGCGTCCGTCGTCCGTAAACTTTTACAAAAATCTTCTCCTCTGAAACTACTGGGCCAAATTTGACCAAACTTGGCCACAATCATTATTGGGGTATCTAGTTTAAAAAATGTGTCCGGCCATCCCGCCAACCAACCAAGATGGCCACCATGGCTAAAAATAGAACATGGGGGTAAAATGTAGATTTTGGCTTATATCTCTGAAACAAAAGCATTTAGAGCAAATCGGACAGGGGTAAAATTGTTTATCAGGTCAAGATCTATCTGCCTTACAATTTTCAGATGAATCGGACAACCCGTTGTTGGGTTGCTGCCCCTGAATTGGTAATTTTAAGGAAATTTTGCCGTTTTTGGTTATTATCTTGAATATTATTATAGATAGAGATAAACTGTAAAGAGCAATAATGTTCAGCAAAGTAAGATCTACAAATAAGTCAACTTGACCAAAATGGTCAGTTGACCCCTTAAATAGTAATTGCCCTTTATAGTCAATTTTTAACCATTTTTCGTAAATTTTTGTAATCTTTTACAAAAATCTTCTCCTCTGAAACTACTTAGACAAATTTAACCAAACTTGTCCACAATCATCATTAGGGTATCTAGTTTAATAAATGTGTCCGATGACCCCGCCCGCGAACCAAGATGGCCGACATGGCAAAAAAAAAGGACATAGGGTAAAATGCAGTTTTTGGCTCATATCTCTGAAACCAAAGCATTTAGAGAAAATCTGACGATAATAAAATTGTTCATTAGGTCAAGATCTATCTGCCCTGAAATTTTCAGACCAATCAGACAACACGTTGTTGGGTTGCTGCCCCTGAATTGGTAATTTTAAGCAAATTTTGCAGCTTTTGGTTATTATCTTGAATATTATTATAGATAGAGATAAACTGTAAACAGCAATAATGTACAGCAAAGTAAGATCTACAAATAAGTCAACATGACCAAAATGGTCAATTGACCCCTTAAGGAGTTATTGCCCTTTAAAGTCAATTTTTTACAATTTTCATAAATTTTGTAAATTTTTGTAAATGTTTACAAAATATTTTCCACTGTAACTACTGGGCCAAGTTCATTACAGATAGAGATAATTGTAAGCAGCATGAAAGTTCAGTAAAGTAAGATCTACAAACACATCACCATCACCAAAACACAATTTTGTCATGAATCCATCTGTGTCCTTTGTTTGATATGCACATAGACCAAGGTGAGCGACACAGGCTCTTTAGAGCCTCTAGTTAAGAGGAGTCGGGTGTTGGTGGTTTGATGTGGTTTGTTGTTCTGTGCGCTATTTTTTGTGATTCCTGTCATCTTTTTTTTAGTTCCACACCGACGAAGTCGAAGGGCACTTTAGGTTTGCACTCCGTCCGTCTGTTCGTCTGTCCGTCTGTCCGTCCGTCCGTCTGTCCATCCGTCAGTCCGGCAAATCAGCTTTCCACACTTTTTTTCTTCGTTCTTGAAGATATTGATTTGATATTTGGTATATAGTTTTATCATGACAAGTTATAGATCAAGTTCGAATTTTTTTCCGGTCTGATGATTTAGTCCAGAGTTATGGACCATAACTCTGGACCATATCTAATGTTAGAGTACTATGTTAAACCATATTTCTGTACAAAGGGAGATAACTCATTTCTTAAAAGACATTCTTTGTTAAATTATTTGAAGAATTTTAGGCAGGTTTGTTTGTTATTTAGTATAAACTAATTTTCTGAATGCTATATATATATATAAAAAAAATTATGAAGAGAAATCCTTTAATTAGATAATAATCTATTTTAATTTATGTTTATATTTCAATACATTACATTGTTTAGATAAAAGTTGTTGACATTTTATAGATAAGTTACAAATCTATATTAGTTTGTGACAAATGAAAGAAAAAATATTTGGAACTATTAATTATATTTGATTATAATTTGAAAATAAATGTACACTGTATTACATCATATCTAATTTTAGAGAACTATTAATCATATCTAATGTTTTTTTCATCATGGTTATAAGATATTGATTGATAATTGGTATATAGTTTTATCATGACAAGTTACAGATCAAGTTCAAATTTTTGTTTCGGTCTAATAATTTTGTGCAGAGTTATGGTCCTTGGACTTGAAAAATTCACTCATATAATCAGTTTCCCACACTGTTTTTAGTCATGCTTGAAGATATTGACATGATATTTACTTTTTGTTTACACCATGACAAGTTATAGAACAAGTTAGCATTTTGTTCCAGTATAATGAATTTTTACCCGGTAGGGGACTATGTATTGCCATGCAATACTCTCAGAATGCTTGTTATACATAACACATATCAATTACGCGACTGTCATACAAGTGAGAGGTTTAGCTAGCTATAAAACCAGGTTTAATCCACCATTTTCTACATAAGGAAATGTCCGTACCAAGTCAGGAATATGACAGTTATTTTCCATTTGTTTGATGTGTTTGAGCTTTTGATTTTACCATTCGATAGAGAACTTTCCGTTTTGAATTTTCCTTGGAGTTCGCAATCTGTGTTATTTTTTTTTACTTTTATTATAATTCATTTTATATCACTAGTCTTTTTATTGATTATATTTATTTGTATTTGAAAAAAAAAGAGGTATACACTTACTGGATATACTTCTATATATATACCAGACAGCTAGTGTGATATTTTTATACACAGTGCATAAAACAGTTCCTTCTTTTGAATAACTAATGAAATAATAAAACTACCGTATATCTTGAAATTCTCGCTTAATTCTAATTTCTACATGAAAACACGACTGTATACCAAGTCAGGAATATGACAGTTGCTTACGATTCGTTTGATTGTTTGGGCTTTTGATTTTGCCATTTGATAAAGGGTATTCCGTTTTGAGTTTTCTTTCGATCGGTATTTTTGCTATTTTACTTTTTATTTCGAATTTCGTAATGTTTCGCTGTATGCATTTTACCGCGATTTCAACATACACAAATATTTCACTATTAATTAAAATGCCTTGTAAAAGCCTGCAAAAGATACCAAGGAGATATTCAACCTCACATTAAGAGAAACTCTGGGAATATTATCATAAACATAACATTCATGTACATATTTTTGCAATGCTCTGATTATTTTGACAAACAAAACTCTGCTCTCACATACGCATTTTCTTCATTTAAAGTTGGACTTGCTGCAGTCAGCAGTCAAATTTCTACCAATTTAAAGAAGACAGCAGTAAAGAAACATCATGGACAAATTAAAAAAAATTAGTAACGGAAACAATTGTCAATGAGAGAAACGTACAATCTGAACAGACTATAACGAGATAGAACCTTCCCTGGATGGCAACAGAAATTAAACAGATGATAAGAAGAAAATATCGACTTTACAAAAAATCAAACAATCAGACAATAAACCACACTGGATCGATTTTAAACTTTATAGAAAACGAACGAAAGAACAACTTTTGAACGATCACGAAAAATGTGTTTAAAGATATCCAGACACCAGAAGACCCGTCAAAACACAAATACAGACAGTTGCAGAGAACTAATATATATACAACAACAAAGTAATTTTGGTCTTATATAAAAGGTCTGAAAAATACAGTAGCAACATTAGTGTGCTAAAAAAAGTAAAGATATCATACATGCGGAAGAAAAAGCTGATATTCTTAATCAGCAGTACGAATCAGCATTCTCAGATATTGATTTTAACCAGTACATAGATGTACAATACTTAATATACTAAAAAATAGAATTTAGGCTACATAAGATATTAACCCAACTGTAAAAGGTATGAAGCACATAAGTATGACAAAACCAGGAATTATCAAACAGCTGAAAAAATAACCCAAATTAAGCTACAGGGCCCGATCTGATACCATGCAGAGAAGCAACATAACATATTGCTACATACGTATATAATTTACAACAAGTCATAAAACAGGATCAGTACCATCTGATTGGCTCATCGCAAATGTTATCCCGATTGTTAAAAAGGGAGAAAAACAGATCCAGCAAACAACCGACCTAGTTCCCTTACGTCTGTCCCATGCAAATTTATGGAGCACATCATCTTATTTAGAATCATGAACTATCTAGATGGAAATAAACTCCTGTCATCATACAAGTACGGATTCAGAAAGAACCACTCGTATGAACAATAACTCATAAATAATGCTGATGACCTAGCGAAAATAAGAGATAGGAAAAGCATTTATACTAACTACTGGATTTTAGTAAGGCATTTGATAGCATGTCCCTCCGCCGTCTAGTACATAAAATGATACATAATGGTATTTAAAGGTTAACTGTCAATTGGATAGAAAACTGGCTCCAAAACAGAAAACATACAATCCTTCTAGATGGGTGAATATCACAACCTGCAACAATACGCATAGAGTGGCAAGATTTTTAAAGAAAAACTAAATTACCAACCTGGTTCAATGACAGCAATCTTACACTCTTTGAATTGGCTTACTCGTGAAGAGCAAGACGAACAGTAAACCGCTTAATCGTATTTCAGAAGATACCATACCACTAAGTAACCACCGAATTTCCACAGTAATATTTTATAAACAACCGAAAAACACGACATAATTACTCAGTCCATATCAGGCAACCTCAGTGCATGAATACAGCTAATATCCCAGAAAAATCCAGGACTGAAACCAACTTCCTGGAAACATAGTAACGGACACCAAATCGGACGTCTTAAAGGAAAACCTCTGGTCGCACTTCCATTATGATACCTGGTACACGGTGATGCTGTAGAATATCATCTATGTTTTTATCCTGCACCAACCACATTTTAACTTATACATAGAATTTTTCATTTTTTCCGTTGATCGCACTTTGAACAGCACCTACATTTGATGCAGAGCATCAGCGTGATGG